TATAAAAATATGTATACATAATTCAAATATTTTTTTTTTTTAAATATAATATTACAATGAAAAACAATGGATATTCTGTTGCCTTTGTGTCAAAGTATTTAATGCAAAGATTTATTTTAAAGACCTACTTATGATATGACCTGTTGAAATACAAATGGAATTATGTACTATATAGATCTTTAAAATTAAAAAAAAAAATATATGTGAATACGAATATCATTCATCTTTTTCTCTAACAGATTTAGCATCTCTGTAAAATCCTGACAATCCCTCCCATCTGCAGAGCCGTACATTTATTCTGCTCACTGTGCGAAAAACAAAGCCCGAAGAAGGAAGTAAAGTGCAAAAGCTGCAACGGCAACAAAGGCGCACACAATTACCGAGCACTGTGTCCGCCCACCGCCACCCACTCAGTCCTTGGATGAGGTATTCTATGGGTGTTTCGGGGGAGGAGGAGGGTGGAGGGGGGGAGGATAAGCAAGGACGATGGAGCCCTTGGTCGAACTTTCGTGTTTACACAAAAACATTTAGACTGATCCCGGCGCATAGTGGGGTGCTAGAATGTGGGTTAATGGACGAGGAAAAGGGTTAAGAGCAGGGAATGCGGGATTTTGTAAGATTGATGGACGGGAAAGGGGGCGGGGGAAATCCCCGGTGAATGCAGGATAACCCCCTAGTTTTCCTGAATTAACATCCGATTCAAGAGTATGCATTTGAGCATCGGAATCTGGTTCATTCAAGGTACAATACACTTGGCACTTTTTAAGGAAGAAAATCTATAAGAAAACTATTACAATAATAAACAAATTTAAAAAAATGTAATAACTTAAAAGTTAAGTTAATTTTTAGAAAATAAAAACTAAAAGTTTATTGCCTAACAGATAAATTATAAACTGGTGAAAACCTATAGAAAAATATATTTTTTATTTTTTGTATAAGTGTGCATCAAAAAAATATTAAAATAAAATATACAGAAATCGTTAAATCCCTAAAATGTGTAGGATTTGGATTTCCATTTCAAAGATGTTTTCCGCACATCTTTAAGGAGCCGCTGGTGATTCCTGCCGGCAGCTTCCTCAACTGTCGCCACTAACAACGCGGCAAATGAAGGCAATATCTCAAATGGAACCACATAAACGAAATAATAAATACCAAATGATTTCATAATGAATGTCGGGATGGGCAGGAAGGCATTCGCAATCGCATTCGCAATCGCACTCGCATTCGGCTCGCCTAGAAACCAAAAGCAAAAGCAGAGCGAACTGTCTTCGTCCTGTCCTCGTCGTCATCCCGGTTGGCATTTCTTTTATTACTGGAATTGCGAAGGAGAAATAAAAAAGGAAAATTCTTAATTTCGTTTCGTTTCATCAGCAGCAGCGACAAGATTTACAACATACTGTGAGCATAAAATAAAAATCTTATTTTTGTTCAAATGCGTCGGAGGAGGGTGGACAACCAACTGGCAACCGGCGAGCGAAATAAATAAATAAAGTAAGAAAAAACCAACGGAATAGAATGAATAAAAATACTCGAACGTACAAAAGCCATCCACCCATTGTCTGCTGTAGATTGTTCGGGGGGGCGTTGACAACCTTAATAGTTATAGAGGGGGTGGCAAGTGGGTTGTGGGGTTCTGGGGTTCTTGGGTTCGCCATCCCACGAACCCACGCAATTGGAACGCATACCGCATGCAATAAAACGCACATGTGGGTTTCCATCCAAAAGCTCCCACTATTCGATTTCCCGCTGCCTCAGCCGCCGTCTCATAATTTCACTGTGGTTGGCAAATAAATTTCATTTTGAGCGAACTGCCGGGGATTGACTGTGTTTACTGACTGCAAAGTTGCCTAGATATGGGTTTAATTTACAAGTGAACTCAGTAGAGCCTTTAAAAATTTACAAAAAAAAAGAAAATCCTAGCAACATATATCTTAAATACATGAGTTCTCAATGTATCTATAAATGCAGGATGAAGAAAATTCCACAAAGTCTTAAAAACTTTTTGTTTTATTTAAATGCAAAATAAAAATATATTTATATATTAAAATTACAAATTCTTTATGTATTAACGTAGTTTTCATTCTATCTTGAATGTAGCATTTTAAAAATTTATTAAACGTAATAAACCATGCTTGACTTTCCAAAATTGAAACTGACAGCACTGAAAGACAATCGTCTGCTCGATTTAAAACACCCGCTTCTCTTTTTGCTGACTTCGGATATTTTTTCTAACTGACCATTCTGTTGACCCTTTTTCATTGTGAAATTCTCGAACAAAGCAAAAGAAAAATTCTTCAAGTCCTGAACAAAAGCTACTGAAACCGTATTGTCGTAAAAATAATTTATAACATTATATTTTTACAGCTGCGAAAAGATGGCAAGAAAAAACTTAGGTTCATTAAAAAAGCAGTACTAAGTTTAAAGTTTACTATTTATTTTCATTAATTTTACCAAGTAACACATTATTTTCTAACACTTAGAAATAAAATCACTTAAGTTATTTTTTAATTAACACTTAATATTTGAATAACTGCGGAGATATTTGGCACGTGTTTGGCTTTTAGGCCAGACGCCCACCTGCTGGTTGCCATCGCGATTTCATTTGGCAGATATTTAACACATCGCTTCAACACGCCCAGAAAAAAAAGCGAAGGCGACAGATATGAAAAGCGAGTCGGACGATATCAGAGGTCAGAGAGGAAAACTGCGGAATGGAGGGAAATTGTGCGACGCCAAAGAGACAGGAGGAGAATAATTCAATGCAAAGGAAACAACACAACACAACACAAACACGCGCTGATGAATGGAGAGGGAATGGAATTGGCAAATGGGGAAAGGGAGTGGGAGTGGGGAAAACTGGGGGGAGGGGGAAGCTCGGAAATCGGGGGCGTGGAATCGGAAAGGAAAAGGACAAACATGCCACGGGCAAAGGACAAAAGTCAGCCCTCTGAGGTGTTGCCAACAGGAAAAGCTTCAATCAGCAGAAAAAAATATATATAGAAGAAGGAAAAAAAAAAAATAAGTAAGTAAGGAGGAAAAAAGGGAAGGGCGGAAAAGCGAAGGCAACCAACTACACATTTAGTGTTTATTTCGTATTTATTGAGAGCAGCGGTTGGGGTCGGTCGGAATCCGAAAATGAAATCAGCAAGAAATAAATGTCCTTGCCGCACAGCATAATATAACCATCCCCAAGTCCCGAAACCCGACCATATACACAATATATAAATTGTTTCCAAATCATTGGATACTCAGCCACAGAAATACGAAAATGAAATTAGTACATTGAGGGCAAATTTCTCTAAGAAGTCGAATCTTAGTTGCCCTAAATGAAAGGTTAAAGGTGAAACATGACATCGGATATATATTTAATAAAGATATGTGGTATTAATATCCAAAAAGGTTTTCTAAGGAACATGATAAAGAATGCAAAATCATAGATTAAACTGGTTTCATATGAAAAGCTCCCCAATTTCCTTTTCTCCCAGTAAGTTTCTTTAGTTATAAGCCAAATAAGCCATGTTAGGGTCCAAAATCGTATAAAGCTGATCATAATGATGATGGGATGGCAAAACGGCTGACAACGAGCAAGTTATTCAATGAGTATTTGCTCGAATGAATGAATGAATAAAGATGCCAAATGGAAGGCAAATGGGAGAATCTGTCAGGGACATTAAAATTAAAGTAGAATGGCCTTTGGCCATTTTCGTCCGTTTGCTCCGTCGACCACAATTGATGTGTGCGGCTTTAATGGAAACCACATTTTCGGCAATAACAAATCGGCGCCCCTCAAGCATAACCACCTAACAAATGGCTTTCTCCAACTTCCTATAAACAGAAGAACAGGAGTCCCTTATATTGATGTACGTTTGATGTATGACAGGACAACTTTTGGGCAAGTCCTGCGGATTTGACAAACCACTTCTTGATTTATATTTGATTTTGGCGGAGGTCATACAACATTTGTTTAGGAATGATTCGATTTCCTTGACCATTACTCAAATACGTAGAAGTTAAAACATTATTTATTTGATGAATATGGGGTCTCTTTTAAGGATGCTTTAATTCAGGAAATATAGATGGAAATATATATACAAAATGGAAAGGAATTTGTTAAAACAAGCTTTAGAAATGATTTCTAAATGTGATTGGGTTCTTAATTCAATTTAGTTTTTTTCTGTTTAAGAGTTTCTTTTACATAGTGGCTCACAAAATACGTAAGATGATGGCTACGCCATTTTTAGGATTTAATTCCTTAGGAGGCTGGCACATATTTTATTCCTCCCGCACATTACTTCCTAAATACATATTTATTTATGTTTGCCAGCCATTTGTGCAAAGTGTTTGCACTTAATAAACCCATTTCGCTAAGCACTTTGTCAGTGGGCCGATGGCAAGTGGGCGGAACCTTGAGAGGGGGCGGTACTGCTTCCGTTTTTGGACCGTCTTAAGACCACCCAACCACCCAACCACCCATCCCACCCACTCACTCCTCACGCATTTACTGTTATTTCAGCATTAAAAGTTCATTGAATGGCAGAGGAAGTGAAAACAATTATCTGCAGGAAGGTGAAGCATAAATCCTTCGAATCCGTAAGTAAATTGCAAATTTTCGTTTATTACTTTCGATGTCTGCTGCTCAAGGGATTTGCGGTTGAATCGAATCGATATTTTGTGTTATCATATTTATTATGCAAACACACTTCGATTCGCAAAAGGTTGCCAAAAAAGTGTCACACGTGCGTACACAAAAACGTATTATTTGCCTGCGAATGAAATGTAAATTGAAACGCATACCTTTTCACATTTCAACACTTTTCGAGCTGAAATTGGTTTTCATTTCATCTCATTCTATTGATTGAATTGCTTCTTGATGGAAGGTAGACGGCTTGCTTCAATTAACACACAAACAGGGAAACAAAATTACTTAGCCAAATGTGCGAAGCCGATAAAATGGGAATGTATATTTGATGATTATAAGAATTAATAAAAAAAAAACATTTAATGGGTGACTTAAAATAAGTATATTATAGCTTATGTTCATTTCAATATAAATGTAACATATAATGACATCAATTACATGAATTGTTTTTTATGGTTTTAAGAGAAATGAGAAATATTCATAAATCCATATAAAAAGTACAGAAATTCAGGACATCTAAAATTAAAAATACAATTGAAGTACAATAAATGCAAATGGCACTAACTTACGGTGCAAAATACCTAATTCATTTAGTGTACAAATAGATGGCCACAATAAGGCCATAAAGTCCGAGCACCTCGGCGAAGATCAGGATGAGGATCATGCCCACGAAAAGCCGTGGTTGCTCGGCGGTTCCCCGGACTCCGGCGTCTCCGGCGATTCCGATGGCTATTCCGGCCACAAGTCCGGACAGTCCGACCGATAATCCGGCGCCCAGGTGCAGATAGCTCATTTTGACAGTGTACTCATCGTTGATCGATCCTGCAATCAGAACGGAAACCACCAAGCCGTAGATCGCAATGATCCCTGCCATTACGACCGGTATAATGGCCTTCATGATCATATCCGGTCGGTTCACCGCCATCTTGGCAATTCCGATTCCGGAAACCGCTGTTCCGTAGGCTGCTCCCAATGAGGTGAATATAATGGCGAACGCCGCCCCCGTACTTCCCAAGAAAATGGCGAAGGCCGGAAAGGGATCATCTACTGCAGCAGTTACCATTTTGTTTAGGCCTTTTGGAAGTCAATTAATTTTTAATAACAGATTGAAGAAATTCCCAAAGCCTTCTCTCTTTTATACAAGTTAAAGAAATAAATAATACAAGTCCTCAAGATAATTTCTAATTCTGATCAATATGTATAACAATTGGTTTAATAAGTTATATTATATATATTTTTATATTGAATAAAGCCTTTTCTAAACTGGAAAAATTTGGATTTTAATTTGACAATCCTAGTGTTTTTATAGCAAACGCAAATGGTTTTCATTGACTTAAAAATGCAAACAGATTGAAAGTAAAAGTGTTCCTCCTTTTTATGGGTTTTCCTCAAAAGCCATTCTACGTATTCAAAATCGAAGCTGCGGTTACCTATCCACTTTGAGTGGTTTTCCCCATTGCCTTTCAGCGCTTTTCCGTTACCCTCCACTTGTTTCAATTAAACAAATTGGAAAATATGAGCTCGACTCGACTATTGAGCTTAAAAAGGCGACACTTTTGAAAGTCCCCACCTCGGCAATGCTGTTTCGTTTCCCCAAAATGGAAATGGAAATTTGTTGCCAACGTCGAGGGGAAAAGGACGGAATTGTTTGTGGGAATGGGGCTTCAATTGCTCCCCCTTCGCCGTCGCGTTTTTATTTGTGGCCCCAACTTGGCTGCTTTGCATTTTGAATATATATATTCCGCATATTCCTTGAGGGAGCTTGTAACTTTGTCAGTGGCTTTGCGTTCGTGTGATGTGATTGTTAAGTTGGCACAGATTTGTCACAGGCGACTTTTGTGTGAACCGAAAAGGGGGAGAGCAGCAGATTCTTGATTGCTTCTTGGCTGAGGAACAGGTAGGTTCTAGCTCAGCTCTTTCTCAGAAAGCTGACACAGTTGGTTTGTTTTAATTGTGGGTTAAATTTGAACCACAGTCAAACTTTAATTTTCAGTCTGCGGTAATAACTCACAGATTTCGTTAGCGAAGATTTTACTACACTAAAATGTCAGTAGAGCATAGTTTACTTTGATCCGGATCTCCAACCTAATACCTTTAAACCGCATAAAAGTTACTTAAAATATTTATTATATTTAGCTCACAAATCCTGGTTTTTACTTCAGTAATTATTTACATAATATTTTTTATAAATTTATTTTATATTAAAACCTTTTTAAGTTGCGCATAAAAATGAATTTACTTGGTGTACAAGTAAATAGCGACGATCAGTCCGTAGAGACCCAAAACCTCGGCGAAGATCAGGATCAGGATCATGCCCACAAAGAGGCGTGGCTGCTGAGCGGTTCCCCTTACCCCGGCATCCCCAACAATTCCGATGGCGAATCCTGCTGCCAAGCCAGAGAATCCAACAGATAGTCCCGCTGCCAAGTGGATATATCCCTTGCGAATGGTATACGTATCCGAAAGCGATCCGGCAATCAGAACCGATACAACCAGTCCGTAGATCGCGATGATTCCCGCCATCACCACCGGAATGATCGACTTCATGATCAGTTCGGGTCGCATTACGGCCATGGCTGCGATCCCAGTTCCCGACTTGGCCGTTCCATAGGCCGCACCCAGGGCCGAAAAGATAATGGCAGAGGCCGCTCCCATCGATCCGAAGAAGAACGAATACGCCGGCCTATCCTTCTCGGCAACTTCCTCTGGCATCTTGAAAGAGGTTCTGCAAAATCAATCAACTTAAACGGGTAATTGCAGTGCAAATACTTTAATTAGCTTACGGTTTATAGTTCTTTAATCTTTTATATTCAGCAATGCCTCTGGTCAAATAGCCAACTATTTATATTATTAACTGGGAGCCTTAGTTGACTTAAAACTCAAAGCCACCCTTTTGTCTGAAAATCATTTATTGCTCCTAATATTTTTTTTAAATTTATAAATTTTATTTAAAGAAAAATAATTATGTATTTAGTAATGTAGTGTTTTAAGAAATAATTTTTGGAGTGGGAGAATTTTCTTTATATAGCTTTCTAACTATCTAGAGTCATATGGCCATTTAAAAAGTTAGAAATTTGTTTAATTTAATTTATTTCTCAGAATGGCCTCATATTTTCATATTATACATATCAATCTATCCATAATGTTAAAATTTTTTGAATTTGGGCGTTGCCTTTAAATATAATAATAAACAACCATTTAAATGAAGTAAAAATAGTATAGTTAAATGGGTACCTGTGAGAAATACTGTGATATACGATTGCTCCACAAAAGAACTCTAGCATTTTAATCACATCTAGCAGCTAAAAGTGCGAAAGGTTTTCCATTAAAGATTTATGCTGCGCTGAGGGATCCGAGTCCCATCGAAATCCTTTCTTCCTTTCCACTCCTGGCTCCTTTTGGGTCGTCGCTTCCATTGTGGCTGCTGTCGCTGCGCTTTGTTAGTTATTGTTTGGCCCGCTTTTTGCAACTATAAATCGTTTATGTATTTTGTTGAGTGCAAGAATTTATCGCTGGAGCTGGGATATGGGAAAGGAATCACATAAATACAAATAAATCAAAAGCATTTCGAATGGCAATGGCAATACAAACAATCTTTTCCTACTGCCTCGAAGAATGGAAAATTGAGAAATATAAACGGGCTGGCGTAGTTGTGATGGTGTGTGTGTGTATTGGTTGTAGGCAGGCTAGACTGTGCTGTGCGAAAATTGATGTCTTGCCTCATAAAAATAAGGCATCAGAAGAATCGCCCGAATGTGTTTTTGTTGAAAGCAACATTGTAAATTTTATGACTTTTTTATGCGCTGAAATCTATAAATTATGTAAACTGACACTGACAGCTGTCAACCGAAGGCGACAGCTCCACTCGCACTCGCACTCGCAGGCCCCTTCGGAGTCCCATTCCCGTTCCAGTTCCCAGTCGCCAGTGCTGTCGTCGAGTTTTTTTTTTAACAATCATTATCGTCAGTGGTAGTAAAAAAAAATAATAGAATAAATATTCTAACAATATACGGGGACTACTTAATTTTTTTAAGTTTTAAAAAATTTTTATATTTGGTAGGTTAGAGAGTACTAAGTTAAGGAGTTACTATACCTGTAAACAGAATTCGTTAACTGTTCTATCCCAAAGTTGTAAAATAGATAACTGACGCAACCTTATCCTAATAAATTATTGCCAAAAAAATTTTTAGAAAATGTTAAATTTTTATATTTTTTGCTTAAAAAAAGTTTATAGGTTAAGGTATGATAAAGAACACAGAGTTATCAATTTACACATATAGTATGTGCCACTATTTTAGTTGAACATAAATTCATTGAAATTCATAAACTAAAAACCTTACTAAAGTTCGAAAAAGAATTTTCTGTTCTTTTAATACCCATAAATCAAGCTAGATTTGACTGGAAAACTGCTGAGACGGCAGCACTGTCACTTTGCTAGCAAGCGGAACGGTTGCAAGTGACACATGTGTCAAATGGTCGATGGGGAAGCGCGACAAAATTTGCTATTCCCACTCGGGGATCTGGATCCTTCGGCAGAGAACTGCGCACCACTCAACACCACCGAATCGCAAGCCACCGCACCACGCACTATATCACCCAGTTCCTTACCCCACACCACCGTGTTTCTGGCCAGAGAGAACTGATGACTCGAGATGATTAAATGATTGCGAGGGGCAATAAAAGAATTTATGTTTCGAATTATTGCTAATATAAATTTTCTGTTACTTTTTCATGCCCCATTTGATTTTCTTCAAGGGCTTCGGACAAAGTCAGTTCTATTTAAGTTGTTGGTTTTAAGTTTGTCAAATATATTATGAGGAACATTACTTTTTTACTTTATACCAAATGGGATACTTAAATTTATATTTAGTTTCAGTCGCCTTTCTTTAATAAATAAACTCTAAATAAATGTGCTCTACGATTACACTAAAAATAAAGTTATTTTTGGTAGAAACTCACATCCAAAATAATTGGGCAAGGTCAACTCCAATCAACTTTATTGTATAGTGGATATGGTAAAATATTGTTAAGGATTTTCCTCGCTTAAGGATCATATTTTTTCTAAGTGGTTTAACACTGTGGTAGCTTTTTTCCGGTAATCCCCGAGTAATCCCCAGTTTAGCCCCATTCATTGATTAATCTCTCGCACAGCCTTGTCCCAAAATTGTTCGGTTCACTGTAGTAAAGTAAATCAGAAAGTTCCTGCCAATGTGCAATAAATGTGGTGCCATGGGTTTTCCCGGAAAAGCTGCCGGCACTAACATAACTAACGAAAGAAATTAACCAAAAATAAATTAACTGGAAACCCCCCTCAACCCCAAAGGGGGCTTAAAGGGTTCCCGGATTCCGCCGGGCCCGAAGTGTCAACCGCTCCGCTCCGCTCCGGTCGCTTTTCCTTTTCCCTTTTCCCTTTGCCATTTTCCCCTTACCATTTTTCCCTTTGTTGTTGCTGTTGCTTCCGCTGCGATGGAGTCAACGGCGACTGGCAACAGAAGGACTGTGTGTGACTCTCGGAATCCCAAATGTGTTTTCAACATGCAATTTTTATTATTGACTGCTGGTTGTCGGTTGCCGTGCTAGCGAGCTGCTTTCGCAGTGTTTTCCGCCCGGCGAATCGTGAAAATGTCATTACTGTCAATCAAGTCGGCCAACGGTTTCCCCCCTTTCCCCCTCCGAAGCCAAGAACATTAAAGCCCTTCTGCCCAACCAAGTGACAAATTGAAAAGTTCATTCGAAATTCGAAATTGAAGCGATTTGGCCATGATGCAGCTAAACGTGCAAATAAACTAAATCCCTTTTTGACCTGTTACCAAGTTATTCATTAGTTTACATAGAATTTTAGATTTGAAAGGATCTTCATTTTAATTAATCGATTTTTATATTAACTTAAAATAAATCTACATCGCATGAGAATATCTAAATATTTTATTTACAAGTAATTGACACTTTAATTAGCAATTACTGTAAAACTCTTTGACCTTTAAAAGCATTATTAACTTTTTCTAGACAATAGTCAGTACTAAAATATTCCACTTCGGAATTCATGACGCAATTTCAGTCTGGTAATTTAAATTTATATGGTCATTAGACCAGACTGTCACATTGTTTTTGGGTGGATTCAACGCATACCAGAAAATAATATGGGGAAATATATGTGCTTAAGGGCTTGTCTTAGATACAAACCTAGTAAGGATGATTAATGTATATTCAGTTTGGGAAATGAGACATTGCTGTCCGAAAATTAAGTTTATTTGAATATCCACTTGGAGTTTAATTAAAATGATTAGGATGGGTAATTTTTTAACCTACTTAACTTATAATAATTTCTGAAACCTTCGAGATGTTCACCCTTATTCCTTGTAAAGAAGAATTTATAAAAACCCTCCGAATTTGGTTATATTTTTAATAACGAGGTCCTGGATAAGTTTTTTCAAAAAGTAATTCGCACTGGCGTGTGATTTTGAGGACTTATTCCATGCATAATGTTACAGGACTGACAGGGTTATTGGCTTGCGTGTTGTGCGTCAATTTCAATATGCTGGCGGAAAATAACACACACCAGCAGGGAAAACAGGGATGGAAAATTGAAAATGTCGGACGAGTCCAACTGGCGGAAGAGTGATTGCCGACATGCATCGCCGACATTGGCGTGCCAAATGTAACGATTTGGGCATTAGACAGAGCAGAGCTTGTTGAATTCCGGAGCCGCCTTTCACTGGCCAAATGGGCGTCCCGTCCGCCCGGACAGTAGCTGCTGATATATCTTTTATTATGTAGTTCTGTGTCATCGTAAAAATCGCCAGCTATTACTTGATTGTCCTTCATGAGAGCCATAAAGCCGTTGGCGGCCTATGGCCCATTGTAAAATGATTTACTCGCCTGCGCCCCGTTCATTTGTGGCAGGAAATCGCTTCCAGTCTCTGTTCCATTCTCTACTCTACTCGCTCATTTTTTTATGGCCCGCTTTTTTTTACGGTCCTTTGCAGCTTAACGACGCATCACTGACACACAAACTTCGCTCGGAATTAGAACTTGGCCTTAAGAAATCTATTCACAGTTTTGTTCAAGGCATCGAAAAAAACGAGATCCATTTGATGTTTTTAGATTTAATTTTAAAAAAATATTGTCACCACTAACTTAATATTGAAAATAAATATTATACACCTACTCCCTATTTCTTTTTTTAGATCTTGATCTTCTTTAGCACGAGTATAATTTTCTAAGATTTTTTTAACTGTATGGCAAAGTAATTTTGCCGTTTTATAGTATTTATCCTTCTTGTCTTTTAAGCCAGTTGCTTCTTATTTACGCTGTTTAATTTTGGGCGTTGGTCTCTTATCCATATTACTATAGTATTTTTATACCCGTTAAGTATACATTTATTACTGCAAAGAAGAGGGTGACTGTATATAGATGTATAAAGTAACAGACAACCCATTGCGTTCCTTCTTTTTTATGTTTTAAGCTTCTAAAATATATTTGTAGTATTATAATACTCAAGTTGAAAAAGTGTAAGTTAAAAATACAAAATATAAATATTCTTTGTTAGTGAGTTACTAATAAGCGGCACGTAGCTTCCTTTTCTCTTGTGTATTTTTAAGATGGTTAGGCGATAAGGAAAAGATAAAAGTATTGAAATGGGCTAATAATTTAGCCACTTTATGGGAGTCAGGATAAGAGGTCGGCACAGGTGGCTGCTATCGAAAGGTCGACTGGCCTGAAATATGGAAGCGTGAAGCTGATGACATTGATTAAGGTCACTGGGGAAAGTGAGTGAACTGCACTCCGACCCTCGAAATGCAGGTGAGGCTGATCCTCGCTGCTGGTTCTCTTCTCTTTGGGTCAGTTTGCTGCCCCGGTTTCGATGGTTTTTGCCCAGTCATTGCTACCTACCGCCTGCACGGCTGGCTGGCCAGTTCTACACTTTAAAAAATCGTTTACCTACATTTTGCACATCACATTTTTTCAGCGAAAATATAATGCTTCAATATCCATTGTACTTCAGCTCGAAAAAATATCATTAAACACTTTAATAATTTATTGTTAAAAATCAAACTTTATTATTTATGTTAAATTATTATTTATTTTATTATTTTTGTTATTAGTTATTTATCTTATTTTATTATAAATTATTGTTGATCTAACCATAGCACACCTTTTTCTTAAGAATCGGAAGCACTTTTGTATTATTTCTCTTTGTGTACATCTTAGATAAATTACCTGTGGTTTTTGTCCAACCGAATAGTATGTGTATGTGAATTCCCTTTGTGTGATTCTGCTGAGCGGCTTTTTTAGGCGAGAACCGCTGTGTTCTCGACAAACGTGCGTTATGTCATGGAGTTTGGCCCAGTGGTTTGGGCCAAGGGCTTGGGCCACGGCTCAGACAATCTGGGCAAACGTGGCCGACAATCGACGTCGGGCAAAAACGTCTTATCATTGTTAGGCGGGTGGCTGAAGTGGAACAAATTAATTTCGTTTATTTTAATTATTCCCCTTCTTCTGCTTTTCTGCTTTTCTGCTGCGAAGCTGTTTGCTTCTTATTTTCCTGTCCGTCATACAAGTTGATATAATTTGAGAGCTATTAACTCGCCGGCTCTTAAGGTCAAATGTGTACACGCTGGAATCATGGTTTAATTATTTAAATGAATTCACGTTCGGATTTTGCTTTTCTTTTCTCACATTGTCTGGCCCCAAAACCCGTATATCATGCCCATCATCGTGATTTTTTGTTGTTGCTTGGCTCTTTTCATGAAGGTTCTACTTGAAAGGATTTCTCCGCCCTTCTTACTCATCACTTAAGCTGGGTGTGTCTCTTGTTTTTGGATTAATAGGTTCGCGGTCTTTAAAAGGTGTTTACTTTTAAGAGTGCTTTAATGTAATATTAACTACGTAATAAAGGTGCTTTTTATTTTCAGCGAATCGAATAGTTTTTGGCATGATAGAATTGTTATAAAATATTTCATTTAGTAAAAAGGTATTCAAACTTTTTGGTGCTTTAAAGTAAGCTACTTAATACATTTGCTCTTTGTTTTCACCGTATTAAATAGTTTTGGAAATATGATAGGGGAGAGTGGTCCCATACCGACCGGTCGTACCATACCGACCCCCCCATGTTTCTCAGAGATGGCGATGCTAGCCGAATTTTCGGTAACTTCAGTGAAAAGCTGTTATAACACAGACATTTTGGAGATAGAAAGCCAATTTGACTTCTTTTGTTTCACTGCAATTTTTCCGTTTGTTTTGTTTCAACGCCTGTGACATTCAGTTTTTTTTCGTTACTGAACTTGAGCTTAAATATTTTTAAAGTTTTTTTTCTTCGCATAAAAATCGGAGGGTAAGGTTTTCTGATAGTTGATAGTCCTAGCTGTCATTCACGCTATTAGAATTACATCGCTCTTTGCGTCATCAGATAATGGCGAGCAGTTAATTAGAAAAGGTTGTGGTGGTCCGAAACCGACCGCGAAGTGATGGTCCGAAACCGACCCCCATTTATAGGCAGCTTAATATGTCATAGCGTATTTTTGAGGGAAAATATGAAAAAGTAAACAAGATTCAGTAAAGAAAAGTAACAGAAACAAAAAAAAAACATCAGAAGAAAGCGAAGAGACAGTCATCAACGAGCGGCTTTCGAAAAACAACGCGAAAACAACGCGAAAACTTACTATGAGAAAGAGGACAACTCAGACTTCATCAATTGACTACAGTGCCCTTTATTTCATACATTAATTTTTATTTTCTGGAAAGAACCTTCAATATATTTCTTTATAAACGTCAAAATCATTAAATTCTATTTTATGTTATTAAATTTTTCTGTTAAGAAAAAAGGGGGTCGGTTTCGGACCACTACTTTTGAGTACGACCAAAAAGTGGAGTTTTATATTTGCCTGAATATCTAACGCTTCAAAGCACCTACGCACTTACTAATCATTTAGATGTATAGTAAACTGATCCCTCTACATAGTAAATTTTTGAACTGAACTGAAAAATTTATTTTTCTCACCTTTATCGCCTTTGCCTTTTAGGGGGTCGGTATGGGACCACCCTCCCCTACTCAATTTTGATCTTATCCAAGATGCATCCAAGTAAAATACTTTAGCAAATTAGTAGTTCAGAAGTTGTGGTTAAGCTGGATTACACGATGTTTATAAGCAGTCTATTGGGGCAATCTTGGGTTAACTGTTGACCCCGCGGGTTGAATCGCGTGCGTTTTGGCCGCTTGAAACTTCACACCCAGGCACACGAAATACTAGAGGCGCTCCTCCTTCTCCTTAGATTCCCATTATCGTCCTTGTTCCTGCGGTTCCTTCGGTTCCTTGCGGTTCCTGGCGATTCCTTGCCGCTCTGCTGCCGTGTGCTCTGCTCGCTTTTTGGCGAACAACACATGGGCACGCAATGTTTCCGCTGCAACGGCAGTCTAAAGTGTCCAATCAAGTTTTTGAAATGAAACCTAAATAACATGTCATAATAAATAACCTTCAAGCGACCCGGGGGCCTGCCTGCCTGCCTGCCAGTTGGCTCTGCCCGACGGAGAAATCCAAAATCCTGTAATTACAACGTAAATCCAAAATGTCTCAACGCCGCACAGCCGTTGCAAACTCACCCAAACAAACACACACACTTACACTTACACACTCATACACACCCAAACACACACACATACAAAGCCCGAGAAGGAAACTTAATTCATATATCAAAAAGTTTTTCGTACCGCGCAGTGGACGAGAGTAGCAATTTGCGCGCAAGTAGCCGGGGTCCACTGCCAAGACCAGAATCGCAGGCCAAGTCCGAGACGACGTCTCTACACTGGTCGAAAAAAGGGTACAATAGTGAATAAACTTTTTATAATTTTAATTTTACCAATTGCAGATATTGTAAACTGAAGCACACTTCGTATCGTACTGGCAAGTATATTTAAGTAATGGTTTTTAGTGCTGACATAGTGATCGAATTTTTATTTTGGATTTTATTTTCTTCTGAATTTTTTGTTATGTTCCAAAAGGTTATCTATTAATTGTTAAGCAAAAAAAATATATTTACTAATTCAAAATATTTAAAAATCGGTTGTACCATATATATTTTGTCATGTAGTTGTTGTGCTAAAAAAAATGAAAGATAATAAAATAATTTACTCTTAATTCAGCAATAACGAACTGTGCGTAATTACATAGGATTTAACTAATATACCATCTATTTCCTAAATTAAATTATTTGCAAATGTGAACCAAGAAAATGTAAATCTTTTTCCTTGATTTGCAAACAAAGTTAGCGATTTTTCATCAGTGTGCAATATATATTGTACACAGTTTACAGGCAGGTCCTCGGCTTGGGCTTGGATTTGCGGAGGGACCTGTGCGGGTGGCCAGGATCAGGGCTCCCTTTTGGTCTTCTGCTCGCCTGTCGTGTCGAATGAGAAACACAGCAATTATGCAATTTGATAATACTTCATTCTTGGGTAATAAATATTAATTATTTTTGCGAATGTGATTTCGTGTTTCGTGTCCTCTCGACCGCTCGTCCACTCGACCACTCGACCTCTCCGCCGCCCAACCGACCCACTTGGCGCTAGTTTGCGGAGATTTATGGCCCGGCTGCTTGCAAATAAAATGAGTCGGAGACGTATTCCATCTTTTCCCGATTCCTTGAGCTCTATATATTTGCCGGGTGCTCGTGCTTTAATGTCGACCACGTTCTATGCAATGGGACATCTTTCACCAAAAATGAGCAGACGCAATGCTTCATTTTTCAGTGAATAATATATTTCGGGTGGAAAGTTAAATCATTTGGTAGGTTTATTAGGAACCATTTGCATATACTCAATTTCATTAACAATTCTCGTTGAAATCAACACTATATTATAAATGAAAAAGGTTAAAGAACTTGGGAAGATAAAGTATAACTATCCATAATTTCTTTCGCGCATGATTCCGGCCAATATACACAATAAGCGTTAATTAGTTTTCGTGTTGACTGTTGGACTAGCCCAGTTTTTTTTTGTTCATAGTCAAACATGGTAACCGGTGAGCTTGGTACAATCGCGGACAGTGAAATAGGGTGGGATAGGTACACATATTCGTACTGATGCCCTCCATCCTTCATACGTATGTAAATACATATATGAACATTGGTTAACTTCCAGGCCGTTGGCTTTTATTTCGTTTTGTTTCGTTCCATCAGAAATCTGTCGTGCATAAGGAACATTTTGATTTTGAAAGGCACTCCGACTTCGGTGGAAATGGCCATAACATTCACATATCGCACTTGCACACACATACGGGGAATAAACAAAAACAGCAGAGTTGGCCAAAAGGAATGAAAAAGTTTAATTGAATTGTGTTGCCTCAGAATAGTTACGTACATTTGAACATACTTCTCAAAAACTCTGTTCTCTTTTCGATTATCCTGCACTTGAAGTTTACGCAACTTTTTCAGATAGTTTTTTCTCTGTGCTGCGGGCAAGCAACTGACAAAGTTGGTTGAAGTAGCTGAATTTAGAATTTAGAAAAATATAAATACATACATATGTATACAATATATATTTTTATTTGAGCACTCCTAAGAACTTAAGACAAAGTCAATTTCCAAACAATTGCATGGTGTATATAAGCGAGTAAAATATGTTTCATAACTTCTTACGTCTGGGGAGTCTTTGTTCTTTTCATGGCAAAAATGATTTTCCGTTTGTGGCAAAGGCAACATTGTAATTTCATACGCACCACAAATCCAAAATGACCAACTTGTCGCCAGAAAATGGGCTGCTGTCACGTCATCATTGTCGCCCAAATTCCAGATGTTTTTAGATGGTCTTGTGTTTTTTTTAAAGATATTACTTCTTGGGTTATTTCTTTTACTAATTATTTTATTTTTTGTTTTTAGAAAATGTAGTTTCTTAAAAACATTCATAGTATTTAATAATGACTGGGTTTAAATAAGTAGAATTAATTCAACTTTAATTTTTACGTTTTAAGGTGGACAACTCTTCGAGAATAATTCTTGTTGTTTACAGATCACTTGATGGTTTTCAATAAAAAGTATTGCAGTGACACTGAATGGCAATGACTAATTTCAAAGATGGTTGGAGCCTAAGAAGGACCCAGCATCCTGTCGGGACGAACCCAGTCGTTGTAGTCCTTCTCCGAAATGCCGGCGTTCAAGGCCTCCTCCTTCAAAGTGGTTCCATTCTTGTGAGCCGCCTTGGCGATCTGGGCCGACTTGTCATAGCCAATGTGCGGACTGAGGGCGGTGGCTAGCATTAGCGACTCGTTCACAATTCTGGCCAGTTTCTCCTTGTTGGGCTTAATGCCCTTGACGCAATTGCCATTGAAGCTGATGCATCCATCCGCTATAAAGAGAAAAATAGGAATCGGTTAACAGAATAGAATAGGTATATAGAATAGAATAGAATATTGTTTTAATAAGCATAAAAGCTTAGGCTAAACATCCATTTGAGATATAGGTATTTTAAAAGCTTAAGAAGATGTTATCCTTTTTGTTAACGATATAGGAAAATTATAAAGCTAGAGAAAATGTTTATATTATAATTACCCAATAGCTTGATAGATCGCAGAACATTGGACACGATCAGCGGCTTGAAAACGTTCAGCTCGAAGTGTCCGTTGGCGCCACCCACGGTGACCGCCACATGGTTGCCCATCACCTGGGCGCAGATCATGGACATGGCCTCGCACTGCGTGGGATTCACCTTACCAGGCATGATCGAGCTGCCCGGCTCGTTTTCCGGCAGCTGGAGTTCCCCAAGACCGCATCTCGGTCCCGATCCCAGAAATCTTATATCATTGGTGACCTTCATCAGGCTAACAGCCAAGACATTGAGAGCTCCATGCACCTCCACCATGGCATCCCTGCTGGCCAGAGCCTCAAAGAAGTTGGGAGCCACCACGAAAGGGAGTCCTGTGAGCTGGGCGATCCGCTTCACGCACTTCTCGGCAAAACCCCTTTTGGTATTCAATCCAGTTCCCACTGCCGTTCCGCCCAAAGCCAACTGATGAACCCGCGGAAGGACCGACTCAATCCTCGCCAGTCCATTGGTCAGCTGCTGGGCATAACCACTGAACTCCTGACCCAAGGTTAGGGGCACTGCATCCTGGGTGTGGGTCCTTCCGATCTTCACGATGTCCTTCCACTCGGAGGACTTGGCATGCAGGGAATCCCGCAAACCCGTCACCGCTGGCTTCAGATCCTTGGCCAGAGCGGTGGCCACCGCAATGTGAATCGCCGAGGGAAAGGTGTCGTTGGAGCTCTGCGACTTGTTCACGTGGTCGTTCGGATGTACTGGGTCCTTGCTGCCGATCCTTCCGCCCAGAATCTCGATGGCTCGGTTGCCGATCACCTCGTTGGTGTTCATGTTGCTCTGCGTTCCGGATCCCGTCTGCCAAATGGGCAGTGGAAAGTGTCCCTCGTCGTAGAGCTTCCCCGAGATCACGTCATCGGCGGCATTCGAGATCGCCGAGCTCAGCTTGGGGTCCAATCCGAACTCCTGGTTGGTCTCGGCAGCCGCCTTCTTCAGGATGCCCATTGCCTGGATTACCTGGCGCTGGTTTTGGTGATGTTGGTTGGACAGAAAAGAATTAAAATGGCATTACTATGAACAATTTTAAAAATATTTCACTAAACTGTAAATGAAACTTAAATAAGTAATTGGATATAGCAGGTTATTCATTAATAATTTCGGTGATGTGTTAGTTCTTGTAGTTTTTGTTGTGGTCGTATTGCTTACAACAAATTTGGATCCGAATATTATATATTATAATGTTTTTTTGTTGAAAACTCACCGGCATTCGCTCTTCCTCGCCGCCGATGCGAAAGTTGAGCATGCAGCGCATGGTCTGAGCTCCGAAGTAGCGATCCATGGGCACCTCCATGGGTCCCAAGGTGTCGCTCTCCTGGCGCTGCTCACCCTTTTTGCAGAAGCTCATCCTGTTCCACCGAAAGGATGTTTGTAATATCGACAAGAAGCTTAACAAAAAATATACTCTGGTGTCTGGCAGGAACACGAAAATTTGAAAGAAAACAACAAGATAAAGTGTTATCAATTTGAAATCCGGAATATAACTATTTTGAACTATCTTTGGAACATGTATTTAAACAAAGGAAAAATGTCTATTTATTTAATTTGGATGCTATTAAATGCAATAGTAAACATTTATTCGGTTCGTGTTAATTTAGTATAAGGTGTAAATATAAAATATGTATAACTTCTTGTTGCAGTAAATAACTTAAATTTAAATTTAAAATATCTTCGCAGGACTCTGTTTCCTTGTTTACTCTTTAAAATGTAAGCGTCAAGCCACGAGCTTATTAAGTTCCCCGACGAGAATGAAATATAATATGTGTTGGATGCCAGTCAATCAAGTTGTGGTATTAGATGCCTTACTTGGGCCTTCGGGTCGTGTTGTCATGAGGACGGGGTAGGAAAATCTTGCGAAGGGACGGAAAACCCGTCGGCTGAATGCGAACACAATTAGGTCGTGAGAGTCAACGGCGAAGAACCCTTATCCTACGGGTAGGGTCGCCTTTTCTTCGAGTGGAAATCAAATTATTTTAATGATACACAAATTGATACTTTGAAACAAAATAACAAACGAAATGAAAATGGCTCCGAGCGAAATGAAGCGAAGAGGAGTGAAAATGGCTGTCGAACGGGGACGTTGATATATCCTCAAATAGAAGCTGTGACCGACCGACCATAGGGACAACTCTGGGAAAGAGACTCTATCCTCGCGGAAAATTAAGTGAAAATTGGATTCTTTACATTTGGCCTTTTATCCCCCGCCTTTCCCCTTCACGTTCGCTTTTTATTTTGCATTCATTTTAGCTTCGGTTGTTTTCCCTTTTGCAAATTAAGTTGAGGATGGCTCGAGCGGAGTCTTTAATACCTGAAGCGTGTGCAATTGCTATTATTATGCAAATTTTTGCTTTTACTGCATGCGTGTCCTTCCCCCACGGAACTGCTCACCCATTGTTTCGACTTTTTTGTAATTTAAATGAGGGTCGTTCCCGCCCCCTTCGCCATTGCTTTGTCCTCGCTCCTGGCAATAATAGGAGACAATTGAAATGTCAATAGCATGCAATTGTCTGCAATAACATCCCAGGTAACCCGGGTCATCATTATCTGTCTAGGGGTAGCGTATCGGACCGACCCAAATGAGGGTCTTCGCGTCAGGGGCCCGATTTCCCATAATCGAATGAGGGAAATTGTTCTTCAAATAGCTTCTATGTAACCATGCAAGCAAATATCGAATTAATTTCACGGGCTAAAATCCCTCAAGACAATCGTAAAAGCAAAGCACTGATTTTGTAGTTGGGTATAATACTATGCAATAATGAGTATATAGTTTCCAATTTTATTTTATAGGTGTGTTAGCAAAAAGAAAATCCTTAAAATAAATGTGTATTACATAAAATTGGCATTAAAGTATGTAAAATAAAAAACTAACTTAAAAAATGTTTCTAATTTCAGTGCCTTTGCTCATTTTATTAAGTAACAATATTTAACGAAATTTCTTAAACTGCTAAAATCCCTGTTTTATGCGTGTTGATCAGAAAAGGAAACTGAAGGGCAAAGGGTTAAATTGTGTAAATTGACGCGAGTTCATCAAGACCCCGGGGCCTTAATTACGTATACGCACCGTTTCCCAATAGCGCCAAACGAGAACATGAGTTAAGTCAGTCAGTCAGTCGGGGAGAAAGGGTTTTCCATCGCTCGGTTAACTTGGGCATCGTGTATGCAAATTAGGATTTGATATCTTGTTGACTTTCTGACCGCTGGGGGAACTTTTCATTTCGCATGCGAACAGTTGGTAAAGTTTTCTGAAAGAACTCAAAGTCAGAGCAAAATAAAGTGCTTATGTAATAAACAGTATATAGAAGTGGGCTTAATTTATTAATAGTTGGAGTGCCAATAAATTGCAGCCTTTTATATTTAATATATTTAAAATGTGTATCCATTTTTCAAAGAAATCTTTTACAAAAGTTTTTACTTTTGAAACCTATTTCAATTATATATTATAACATGGTAAGTAATTATATTTAGTTTTATTTAAATATAATATTTTTCAATTACAGATTTTTATAAAATTTACGAATAGAAATGTTACCATTTCTATATCCTTGTAGAAGTTTAAATATACGAGTGGCCTTAGTAAATAAATAACGTTTAACTAGTCACCAAAGCAGTATGATTTTTAAAGCTATTTACATTTTGATTGTGTTCTCCTTGATTTCTTATATAAATTCGGACCTAAAACAATTTCAGTCTCGAGTGCTAAGCCAGAGCACTGAAGATGTAAGTGCAGTGGGGATCCTCAATCAAGGGACTTTTCGCAGGCCAGAGTGAACGCAAAAGTTTTTGGCTGGGAGCATCAAGCTGCGCCAGCGGAAGCGGAAGTTCTTTTTTTCGATGTAGCAATTGAAATAGAAATGAAGCACAACAACAGCAGCCGAAATGAGAAAAGTTGGGCAAGACTTTGGCGGAAATGTGGCAAGTAAATTGAAGTACCGACCATACAAAAGCCATATAGCCATGTCCATACCCCCAAGGTCGCTTTTTAAATCCAAATTACTGGCTCTTTGTTTGACATAATCGAAGGATGTGGCCAGTATTGTAGTTGTGTTTTTCTTATTACAGTCATGTCTCTTCCTTTGCACAATGACAGCAATGGAAGCTGAAAAGGAAATGAAAGCATTTTGTGGCGGCCATGTTGGCACGAAGAAAATTGACTCGACCAATAGAATACTTTTAGTTGTTTATTAGAGAGAACAAATAGGGGATGTTCTCTTTGAAGTGATTATATTATTTTATTTAGATCATCATTTTTATGAGTTATATATATTAAACTATTTAATGTGCAAGTAGCATTGAGAGGACATTGAACTGCGGTGCCAATGGACAATTACCAAAGTGTCCAGTCAAGCTTATCGAGGCACCCGGATGACAAAATCCAGGAGGGTTTCCATGGCAGCATCCCCACATTCACTATCTCCACCATTCAGGGGAGTCCCTTTGTCCTTCCCTTGATTAAATGTCAAAACAATTGCCGGCTGATGCATAATCAAAGCGCTGCCTGCGTAATTGCCCAATAAACCGGAAGCTCTACAAGCAGTATAAATTGGTCCGGGGTTTCAATACGCAATCAAAACCTTTTGAAAACTGAAGTTAAAGGACCAATATTTATAATTAAAAACTAAATACTTTTTCCGCTGATAAAAATTGTTTGTAGAAAGTACAAGAATATTGAAAAGCGTAGTATAGAATAATATTTTTTAATCCTGTTTCTATCCCCATAACATTATTAATGTATTTTTTTGTTTAAATTGTTTCCTTTTTTTCTGTTTTAAAAATAATTTAGCTGTGGTTGGCTTTAACCATTGGTTGTTGGTTTTATAAACGAATATTTGAGTATAAAACAATTTCAAAAAGTTATTTGGTAATGTGGGGGATGAATATGCAGAGGGCGAGGAACTTTCTCGGTGGGTGGATGATTTCCAGCTCCCCTGCTATCGCTAACTTAAATTATAAAAAGCAACAAAAAGCACGAGATTGACGGTAAATATAACATTTTGTAGGAAGAACGAGAAAAACGCGCACTGCTTTAAATTACTTGGCATAGCTATTTGGGTATGCAGAGCCTGATGACCTCATTAATTTTCAATCTGAGCCAGATTACAGTCCACTGGCGGGAGTATGATGAATCTCTTCCATCCCCCCACCCCCCACTTCTAATTTATGATGATAAATGAGTTTCAATCAAGCGGCAAAAGTGAAGTTGACGGCGGCCAGTTGCCCATTTTGACCACTTGGCTCCTTGAATCGCAGGATTGTGCGTATAAATTTATACATAATTCGATTTGACTTTTTTTTTGGGGAGGGATTGGTGCGAGGATTTTCATTTGAATATTTATGAATTATTTTCGGGGATTTTCTTTTCGTGGTCCATGCACTTTTCAAGCTTGACGATAACAAATTTCAAAAATCAGGGATTTTATTGATTTTGATTCGAATTTGCCATGGCAAATCTCTAATTAAGAATTTCCACTGAGCCGCATTTGCATAATCTGTGCGAACACAAGCGAATAATAATCGATGGCTGGCGGAGATCTCATTTATCGACTTGAAACAGGGACAACTTGGTCACCTGCTGGTCGCATGTGTATTGCCCCATTTGGTGGCCGAACGGCTTCCATTTATTTAAATAATCTGGCTATATTTCAAATTGCCAAGGGTAAACGCAAACGACAAAGGTACACAAATGAATGGGAATCGTTTGAACCCTTTTCAGCAGGAGGAAAACCCAATGACATTGCAGGTCCGTTTTGTAATCAATTGGAAAGTCCGACAAAATGACAATGTGAACGAGGTGGAGCGAAAACACAGTTGTATTCGCATATCCATTAATTTATTGCCGATACACTTTGGGCGAGCGTCTGGTGAGGTAATTATTATTATCTTTGGCCAACGGTGCGCATACGTAATAAATACTCGGTTTTAACGGTTTAAAAATTAAAATTTTAAATTGCGAGTGATACACTTAAAAAAATTGAAATACAATTAAATTAAAATAAAATTAAACTGTATTTTGAAATTTCTTTCATTTAAAATTGTTAAAACATGTCGGTTTATAAAAAGCTTACATCACTGTTACTGATTTTGTTTACACATGCTCAACATATATGTTTAAGTCTGAATTCGGTTAAAATGTATACCTTTTCTAAATTTATCTACTAGAGTCATAAAGTTGGGGGAAGTAGAATATTGGCGATGTGATCGAAGCCGCTTCGGGTCATCTTGAAGCTGGCCATCCGATTGCCAAAGTCCACGGCAACTGGCAAAGATCTCTCCCGGATGTAAAGTGCGTAGATGACGGCACCCACGAAGGTGTCGCCGGCACCTAAAAAACTGTTGATTCGCCTGGGCTTGTACGGCTTGGAGTGGGTAAAGTTCCCTTCGAGATCCATGATTCCAGCACCCTGATCGCCCCACAGGACGATCACGTACGGTCGCTTAAGATTGAGACCCCATCGCATGCGCAGTTTCTCATCCAGCTGACTGCAGGCATCCTCGAGCGAAGTCCATCCATTCGGTTGGGCCAGCTGCTTCGAGAAAAAAGCGTAGTCGCAATATTCTGTCAGGGGCCACATCTCCTCCAGATTGTGATCGAACTCCAAGGAAACTATTATCTTCTCCTCCTTGGAGGCATTGTACGCCGCCAACTCCTTGAGCATTGCCAGTGTGTTTTCGAAGTACAAAGCTCTCATGTGGATCCACCCGTATTTGCTGAGGTCCAGCTTCCTGAAATCCTCGATCCCCACGTGGGGAAAATTACTGTTGCAGATTACAATGCTCCGCGCTCTCGGCGATTTAGAGAGGATGACCGATGAGAAGGGTGCACTTTGACTGCAAGTCGGGCAGTTCTCCACAATGATGCCGCGTGCAGTCAGATCGTCAACGAGAAGCTGGTACATACTGAGGTTGCTCAGCATCCCGAAGAACTCCACCTTGACCCCCAGATTGGAGAGCACCGTGCAGTTGTTCGACGCGTTGCCACCGCGAATCCAATAGCCACCGGCGGCCTCGTTGTGGGTTGCCTCCGGGAAGTTCTCCACGGTGGCGACAAAGACCATGCTCGTGGTGCCGACACACATCACCGTCTTCTTGCCCACCGCCCAACTCAGTTTGCTGCCGCGGATACGCTTGGTTCCGTAGCTTACACGTTTTTCTGATTTAAACATTCCGAAAATAAAAACTTTCTGACGTTTCGGAGAAATTTTACACAAGCCAATGACATTAAATAAAAATATCTTCTCTAGATTTTAAAAACAAAGGCTCGTGCAGAATTTTTTTGAAATATTTAAAAACATAATTTTCGAATTTTAGGTTGAATGGAAATGGAAATAATTTATGTTGTGTGACGCCTTAAAGTTGTAGGTTTTAACGCCCTAAAAGTTATTTTATATTGTTATTATTATATATTATATTATTATATATCAGTATTTCCCAAAGTGTGGGTCGCGACCCACTGGTGGGTCGCGGGTAGATTTTTGCTGGGTACTAATTGTCATATAGATCTTGCAATTTTTTGTGTAGGTGGGTCGCGGTCCCGAAAAGTTTGGGAAACACTGTTATATATTGTTATTATTAGCACTATTGAACTTTGATACAATAAACATCCGTGAAATCTTATTTAAGGCAGCAATAAATAAATTATCAGAAAGAATTTTATTTATTTCTATAAGAAATTTTGATTGAAAGGAATATGTTGAGAACCTTTTTTTATTAATGGGTAAGTAATATTGATTTAGAATTCTAGTTCTGAAAACTGAGAGCCATGTGTCAAACTTTTCGGAACTGTGAACCAAATTATGGCAAACGAGAACTAAGACAGGGATCGTAGATTGAGGATTTTAATTACTTAGTACTTAGCAATCACCACCTAAAATGACGCAATGGTGTGCGATCAGTGTGATGAAGGCCGTGCTCTGCGTCGGCTGCACGGAAGTGGACTACGTGACGAGCATCGAGAAGTTGGACTTCCAAAAGGACCGAGCCCGCGCCCAAAACGGGTATCTTCAGCGCAGCGGAAGATCCTCGAATGTGAGCACTGCCCTGCGGCTCCTGGGGGCCAATGTCGAGCTGTTCGGCGTGCTGAGCCGCAATCCCACCTACCGCATGATCCTGGACGATCTGGAGAAGCGGGGCATCGACATCAGCCACTGCACCTTCACCGACGAGAGTCCGCCGTTCTCGACGATCATCCAGGAGCGTTGGACGCGTCGCATCACGGTCTTCTACTGCGACAAGCCCTTTCCGTATGTGACGGCCGATGATTTCCGGAAACTGGACCTCGACCAGTACGGTTGGGTGAACTTCGAGGCGCGATCTCCGCGGGAAACCTGCGACATGATCCGCCTGATCCAGGATCACAACAACGGACGCGAGGAAGCGGATCGCATTGTGGTCTCGCTGCAGATCTTCAATGCCTTCGCAACGGTTGTCGATCTGATCGGAATGTGTGACTATGTTTTTGTGACCAAGTACATATCGGAGACCAGAGGCTGGAAGACGCCGCAGGAAGCCTGCGTGGGTATAAATGAGCTCCTGCGAATGCCGAGGGATATCAAAATCCGGAGGCCCTGTGTAATTGTTCCTTGGAGCAGCTTGGGAGCAGGATGCATGACCACCGATGGCCACTACTTCGAGCTGCCGCCCTACAAGCCCAAGAAGATCGTGGATCGGGTTGGCGATAGTGACTGCTTCACGGCCGGCTTCATCTACGCCGCCTTTGTGCGAAAAAGGCTTCTGGCCGAGGCCGTGGACTTCGCAAATGCCGTGGCCAGCTTTAAGTTGGCCTTCGTGGGATTCGATTGCCTGGGGACCCTGAAGATCGACTCGGTCAAGCTGCCCGAACTAACGCAGGGCAAAAGTCAGGACTCCGACGACGACGAGGAAAATGATCAGCAGAACGCCTGCCGGAAGTATCTGCTCCGTCCGGCCGAGTTCCTGGAGGTCGACAGTGCCTCCATCGCCACCGTGGAGCAGCCGGCGGTCGGAGATCTCGTGGAGCGGCCATCAACCAGCTAGGGATGTCGGAAGTGTGCCATGTATCGTCTAGTGAAAATCTTTTAAATCTGAAAAAAATTAATATTTATAATTTGTCTAAATATTATTTATTTATTTTTATTTTTTTTGGCGAGCCGAAGTCTATATACCCTTGCAGTTATTAAGTAAGTCGAACAATATACCTAAAGGCTAAACCTCCCCTTTCCAAATTTCCCAAAAATAGGTTTGCTTAAAATTAAAAAAAAAAATATGTATATAACATATTATAATTTTAATAGAAAAATCATATCTACCTTTCTTGTTTATTTAAAGGAGTAAAAAATTTTCTGGCATATCAAAAGTTAACAGAACTATTACTACAGAATGATAATTTTTAAATAATAATTCTTTTAAATTTAGCTATAAAACCGGACAAAGTAGAATATTGGCGATGTGATCGTAGCCGTTTCTGGTCATCTTGTAGCTGGCCATCCGGTTGCCAAAGTCCACGGCAACTGGCAGAGATCTCTCCCGGATGTAAAGTGCGTAGATGACGGCACCCACGAAGGTGTCGCCGACTCCCAGGGTATCCTTAATTCGTCTGGGTTTGTGGGGGCTGGAGTGGGTGTAGTTCCCTTTGAGATCCATGATTCCAGCACCCTGATCGCCCCACAGCACGATCACGTACGGTCGCTTGAGATTGAGACCCCATCGCATGCGCAGTTTCTCATCCAGCTGACTGCAGGCATCCTCGAGAGAAGTCCATCCATTCGGTTGGGCCAGCTGCTTCGAGAAAAATGCGTAGTCGCAATATTCTGTCAGGGGCCACATCTCCTCCAGATTGTGATCGAACTCCAGGGAAACTACGATCTTCTCCTCCTTGGAGGCATTGTACGCAGCTAGCTCCTTGATCATTCCCAATGTGTTTTCGAAGTTTAATGCCCTCATGTGAATCCACCCGTATTTGCTGAGGTCCAGCTTCCTGAAATCGTCGACCCCCACGTGGGGAAAATTACTGTTGCAGACTATAGTAGTCCTCGCCCTCGGCGATTTTGAGAGGATAACCGATGAAAAGGGTGCATCTTGAGCGCATGTCGGGCAGTTCTCCACAATGATGTCGCGTGCCTTCAGATCGTTCACGAGCAGCTGGTACATGCTGAGGTTGCTCAGCATCCCGAAGAACTCCACCTCGACTCCCAGATTGGAGAGCACCGTGCAATTGGTCGACGCGTTGCCACCTCGCATCCAGTAGCCAGCGGTGGCCACGTTGTGGGTTCCCACCGGAAAGGCATTAATGGTTGAGATGAAGTCTATGGTCGTGGTGCCGACACACATCACAGTCTTCTTGCCCACCGCCCAGGATAGTTTGTTGCCCCTGCTGGCCATTATGCGCTGGAAACACAACTTTCTGAATTAACGAAACAATTTTGAAAAAACCACTGACATTAAACAAAAATGCTTTCTAAAACACAGTACACCCATTTGGATGATATATATAAATATTTTTAAATTTATTATTTATTTTATATTTACTATATGTATTTATTATGCTAATTCGTTTCAGTCATACCAACACAAATTATTAAAGCTTCTGGTATCCTTGTTTCTCGGATTATTGCTAGCTCTACAGTTAAGTTGATTTAATTCCAGCACAAACCGTAGATGAACAGGTTCACTTGTGCTTCGAATATTGGTTGGTGGCTCTGACGGGCATGGCATAAATTCAGACACAATGATTTAGTTGAAATCCTGCTGGGCGTCCGCTTCATGATATCAAAGACATACCTAAGCGGAAATGGCCAGAAAGGAAGGTTATGTATGTGTGTGCAAATGGACGCTGAGGAAGAACTGTTGCCACAGCATAATTGCCACATGATTAATTCTTGAGTCAGGCGAAAGTTGTCCGGGTCCGAGACCAAGATAAATGCTAATAGATATACATTTATGCAGACGTTGGGCGGTGGACAAATGTTGTGAATAGCAAGGCAAGGCGGTTTCTTGGTCATTTATCATTTCGGACAACAGGCAGCGGCTAAGGCAGTGGCAGCAACAACAATTACCACGAATATAAGTGACAATTTTCATGCATTTCCCTGGCCACGCGGCGTATGAGCGATGAAGATAATTTCGGTGCGAAGCAGCATAGATTACCAGAGATGACGACGCCCAGCCAGCCCGAATAATTCCTGGCCGAGCCAATCGATAAATGTCCAACCATTTGGCGTAGTTGGAGGCGGATGGCCAAAAGTGCTGCATCTGGATGTGCCAACTCCCTCGTAAAAACATCGAGCGCAGGAACTTATTTCCTTTTCGGGTGCTGTGTCGCTGCCATGCGAATATGAACCAGAATTATGTGTCGCAAGCTTGCAGCTGCCAACTAGAGGGGGAGCTACACTCTAAGAAAATTATTTATTGAATTTTTTTTTAGTATAAATTAATGTAGTTTATTAGGAAAATATTGATTTCCTTCAAAGATCAAACATTGAATAAACATTTATACCTATTTTGGGTAATATTATATCTGTTTTGGTTTTAATGTTGTTCCCCTTCTTTTATTACAGTGTTTCACCCACATTCCGGGTTCAAAAGAGGGAAAGATCGAGCCGGAGACGCTTCCATTCGCCTTCCGGATCCACTGCCATTTTGAATGCAACCGGCAAAAGCCAAAGAGTAAACCGACAGCACACACTTACATTGTGAATAGCGACCGGCATTTATGTAAATTAAAAATTATTTCGGCTGTAAAAATTCAGTGGGAATTGTTTTTGGCATGGATGTCGTTGGCAAGAGCGTTCTAACAAGGGGAAAAGTTGAGGGGGAGTGAGAAACTCAAGTTTTACAAGTCGTAGTCATTGGTACCCTTTCTAAATGATCACAGGGATTTAAAACATAAATTTTATCCTTTTTTAGGTTTTTTTCACAATCCCAACAGTAAACACAAAGCTTTAAATCATTTAACCAAATATAGTTCATTAAAAGGATAAAATTAATATATATAAATAACAAAACCAATATGATAAACTTACTAAAAGTATGTCCTGAAAATCTTAGAATTTATTAAGCTCATTTAAACAATCTCACATACCGAATTATTTTAAACTCATAAGCTTATAAGTTTTTTTTTTATATATTTTTGCTTTTCCCGCATTAATTCCAAAACTCATATCTTGCTACCATTATATTACTCTCTCTCTTAGGGAATTGGACATAACCAGCGATACAGCAGAACCACTGGCAACAGAATCAGCAACAACAGCAGCAAGTATAATAACAGTCATGACAATGGCAGTGGCAATTGAGAAAAACATTTGCTTTTTTAACTGCATTGGCTGTTAAGCAGATATAAAAGATAGTTATTGTTATTATTTCGAGCCACAGACAACCGAAACTGAAATAGTGGCGGAAAAATGGAAAGCCATGCGCCGCGGATTTACAAGGACGCAAATGTGTTGGAATTGTTATGGTTTGAATATCCGACGGACTGCTGTTTAAGTCTGCTTTTATTTTGTTCACAGTTCAAAAAAAATGTAAATGCGAATATAATAGTTGTGGAAAAAAGTCCAAGATAAATAACCTTATGGAAAAAACAACAAGCAAAGCGATTACGTCAATAAGCATTTCCCATGTAAATCCAAAAGATTGTGTACGTATTTTTATAAAACAAGTTAAACACGAGATGTCAATTAAAATGAAAATATTTGGAATTTTCATCCGACAGATTTTCAACATTATTTCCCACAATGCAAATGTGAATATAATAGTTATTTAACAAAAAAAAAAAAAAATAAAAGCAATGTAAAAACGCAACAAAAATTATGCATTGTAGAAAATGGTATGAAAATTCGAAAGATTGTTCAATGATTTTAAACTATAATATTTTTTAAATTTATAAAAAGTAAAAAGAATTCGAATACTGATGGTGACTCTTTTCCGTGATTTTTGGAGCCGCAACCATTTTGGCAAATTGTTCATCCCGATTTCCATACGCCCCCATCCAGTTTTCGGCGTCTGTGCGCGACTGCAATGGTGCATAGATTATGCAGTTGGCTTCAGTTTATGATTGGCAAATCCAATATACGCTCTGCACTTTGGCAGCAGATTGGCAGACCCGTCCGCACGGCAAAGACCCAAAAGATGGCCGCCTGGCTGCCACTTTATGCCACTTGCACGCATATTTCGTCGGGCTTACACACACACACTAGCACACATAGACACACACACAAGCACACAGCCACACACATGCTTACAACGCAGACACAAGATGGCGGCGCGCCCATTTCCGGTTGATGGGGCAATAGCGTGATTATCGGCAGACGGGCAGCGAAGGGCAAACCGCAGCGACAAAAAATGATTGTGTGAAAATCCAATCACAAAGGCATTACAAATTTCTATTGTACCCTGTAGAAAGATGAAAAATAAATGGAAAACAAGTTTATTTTAATAATCTTTATAAGTTTTCCAAATGTTTTTAAGTTAACTTTACTATGTGTTAATTTTTAAGCTTACAAAATTAAACTTAACTTTCAAATTAAAAAAAGTAAGTAAGTAATATACAAAAAAAATTTTAAAATATATTTATTTTTAAGTCAGGGTATTTTGTCGCATGAGTAGAAACAGCTGAACATTCCCTTTCATGTCCTGTGATCCCAGGAATAGAACACACACATCCAGTTGTGCAAAATTGCTACCGCAGCAGTAAGCTGCAAAATAAGCCAAAAATATGCGTTATCAAGCTTGGCCAATAAAAAAAAACGCACACACAAACCCATGCATTTCAGCCAAGCGCACAGCTGTAAAAACAACAACTTTGAACCGTGGTTAGAAATCAATAGATTTAGCACACAAAACAATTCAAAAATGAAGAAGGCAAAACCCAAAATAATCTATGCCTACCTATTTTTATTTTTTGCTTGGCTTTTATGTTAATCTTAAAATGTATATTATATTTTCAGCTAGACATATTGCTATTTTTTGGCTTTCGTCATGGTTTTGTGACCACTGTGCGTATGGTGTGTGTAAGTGGACCACTTGCATTTGAATCGCTGCTGACGCTGGCCGGCGTCGCAATTTTGCATTACTTTGCATAACCATCGAGAATATCCCGCTGAGGGGACGGTACAGTAACGCCCGACTCTCTGTCTAGAAAATGGAGTTTTGCCGCTGTGCCTTTATTTAACCATAAACTGTTCTTTCATGGTCATTATGGAGGCTTCCTTCGCCGGATTCCGCACATTATTCTTATTTATCGGTGGCGCAGCAGCAAAGACTGGTTCAACGACATTGGATTAACCTTCACATATATTCCGCAGTAAGTACGCTTTTCTCTTTTATCAAGAAGCATCTGCATACTAGATGTTAAAAGGTAATTTATATATATCTTAGTACATACAATTGAGGAAAATATTGATTTAAAGCCATTAAATACGTCAGCACTTTGTTGAATAAACGCTTTTAGTACACAGCCTACAAATGGTTTCGGAACCCAATCAGATTACATTCCCTCATCCATCATGGCTTGGAAACTGCCTTCTGATTACAGGACTTCAAACCCTCTCGCTGTCGATGCTTTTACCCCATTTTTATTGTCTTGGTTAACTCGGCTTTGATTTTTCAGAGAGCTGGGCCAGAGCGAAGTGATAGAAATGAAAGCCTTTTCTGGGGTGTTTAGATTTAATAAGGTTTTTCGCTGTTGTGCCGGAATCAATCAACAAAATCGTGGGAGATCCTTTCGCATGTTTCTCTGATTATTACGCTCATTACATAAAAAAACATTTCACTTTACTTCAGTTCACTCGGCTTTGTGCAGGAATTTGTTATTATTTTCGTGCTTGGCTGCTTTTTCACAGTTCGCCGACTAAAATGAAGTCGAGTGCGGGTTTAGAGGGCGGAACACACGTGGGGTAAAAGTCATTGGTTATCCCTTTACTCGCAGTTCTTCTTATTTTTTCCTTTTACTGCTCAGTTTTTATATTGAAACTAGGGTGTATTGGTTTACTCGAGATCGGATTATCTACAAAAACTTAAAATAGAATTGGATTTCTTAGTATGAAATGACTATTCTAATACAAAGCTTAAAAAAGGATATGTATGCATTTGATAATTATGAACCATCTTATCATATTATCAAGTACTAGGTATCTTTTACTTGGTTCTCTTCCTTTTTTTTGGTTTTCCCTCGAATTTCAGCTTCTTGTACACATCCGTTCAATCCGTCTGGGTTTCAGTGCGTTGAAATCCTTTCAAGTCGCAAGGGGCAACGCGCGAAATTCATTTGTTAACCCGGAAGGGATAGGATGACGTCGACTGTCGCCGATGTCGTACTCGTTGCCTAATCCACTGCAGCCGCGACCCGAACCCAAACCCAAACGGAACCGGGACGCAGGACTCAGGACTCGGGACACAGGAACCAGGACACAGGACACAAGACCCGGGACCTGACAGTGTTTGCCTTCGCGAGAAA